GTCAACTAAAACAGCCTCTGAGAAGCATGAATCTCAATGTGTTTTGTCTGTCTACTCAGTGCAGACATCTTCGTGCTCGCCAGTGCAGACACAGTGTGTGCAGACAACATCGCGCTACACAGTCTGGCCACACAGTGCAGATACATATGTACAAAGTCTGTGCAGAAAACGTTGCTTTCACCAGTCTGGCTACCCAGTGCAGACATATAATCTGTGCAGACAACGTCACAATCTCCAGTGCAGACAACCTCGCGTTCCTCAGTGCAGACAAAAAGTCTGTGCAGACATCGTCGCTTTCCCCAGTCTGGCTTTCCAGTGCAGACATATAATCTGTGCAGACAACGTCACGATCTTCAGTGCAGACAACCTCGCGTTCCCCAGTAAAATTCAGTAATTGGGTATATAATGAAATAATCATGCTGAATTCCGCAGACTTTTGATGATAAGGTTCCACCCGCCTTATACATAGCTCGGTTATTGATTGATGTTGACAGATTAGCTGGCAGGACTTCAGGCAAAATGCTAGCAGTTTGTTCCATCAACACGGTGTGCTTTTTTATAATTAAGGTTCTACTTGTTTTCCACGTTTAAATGTAAATTGCTGACCTGTTAGTACCTGATTTGTGTATGTAGATTCATCAAAAGTTAATTCGTGATTTGTTTAAAATTCAAGTTTTGAAACTTTCAAAACATTTTAAGAAATGAAGTAGTAATTAAATATTTATTATTCGTCCGGTATTTGTTGTTCCGTCGTAAAGACTATTCATGGTCTGCCGGTTTTAGTTTTATTGAATCTGTAAAGAATATCTTACGGAAAATAATGGAATATTATTAGCCTGAAAAATTTTTGACAAAATGATATTTGTATTTAATTAGAATTTTTATGTAATTATCATGTATTTTTGATTTGCTGTCTTCAAGTTTATCTATTCAAAAATTAAAAATTCCGTTATCTAATAAAATTTCAGATTTTATTACAATTGCGTGAAAATGTCACAACAGTTTTCAGTTGAGTACCCACGATGTAACGCTCTTCTTAATGCGCTATCGTACTGTTATGTATAAGTAGATTTATGAATTCAAATTCTTTTGTTAAAATTTAATAGGGAGCTTATAAGCTGTTAAGAATTTCTATTCAGAATTCTCATACATCAATGAACAAATTCAGGTTATAAATTTGAAAATGTCAACAAACTAGGCGATTAAGTTTGAAGCCGAAAAAAATGAACTGGTTTTAATTAATTGGAAACTTCCATCACCATTATTCTCACCAATCTAACCATCAAGTTTGAACATGCACCCCGTACCACTGAACATTAACCACACAACAATGAATACAAACTACTCAATTTCGTCATCAAAATGATTAGCTCTCACAGCCGTCTAAGTTTTTATTCCGACATGAAAATCTCCAAGTTAAATGTCAACCAAAACAACCTCTGAGAATCATGAATCTCAATGAGCTTTATCTGTCTACTCAGTGCAGACATCTTCGTGCTACCCAGTGCAGACAGAGTGTGTGCAGACAACATCGCGCTCAACAGTCTGGCCACCAAGTGCAGACATATAATCTGTGCAGACAACGTCACGATCTTCAGTGCAGACAACCTCGCGTTCCCCAGTGCAGACACAAAGTCTGTGCAGACCTCAACACGCTCCCCAGTCTGGCGTTTGGCTCCATCGTTGCTCCAAAGTTCGGTGGTCGGTGATCAGACTCAGCGTGCCTCCCTCTATTCATCGTACATAATCCTCCTGAACTTCCTCCTCCCTCCCTCGCCATCACTCCCCTCTTGGGGATTAACTTCTCTCTCTCTCTCTCTCTCTCCAACTCATGCACTCTCTCTCTCTCTTTCTCTTTCTATTTTCCGTGTTTTTTATTTTCTCATCGACCGACCCAAATGTTCTCAACAAATTTAAATGGATTTTCACGTTGTGAGTGAGGTGGCAAAGTAGCCGAGCGTTAAATTTGGCGAGAAATAAAATTGGAGTGCATTTTGACTCGGAAAAAACGCGAATATTAAAAGAATTTCTGATATTTTTCTTCCAGTATCCAATAAAAGAAACTAATTCTAGGTCTGTCAATAAAACAGAATGTGTCATGTGTTAGGTCAAGGTTCAGCGCTAGATTATCAAGAAGTAGTAGTAGTAGAGGTAGTGATGTTGGGAGAATTTTCGCGCTGAAAACAAAGGAGTTTATGCTTAGGTACCATTGCTGTAGCATATGATTTTTTTCAAAGCGACTCATAGGTTACCTCACAAACATCGCAGCACATAGATTGCCCACTACTAATTATTCTACTTTCTGTATTCTACTTGTTTAAAATTCAATGACATATATAATTTTCTTTCAGACAACTCAGGAGAAAAACGGCGCCCTTCTTTCCGATGCACAAAATTTCTGGATTGTGTGTCAATAATGTTGCTTGCGTTTACCGTTGTAGGCAGGCAGGCATCCTGCCGCGCAGTAGCCCCCTTATACCGCCCGATAATTTTACGGCATTGTCAGCGATGAGGCGGCCGCCAACAGGCAAACAATTCCACACAAACAGCCATCAGCTGCAAACATCCTTTCGAGACACTCCCCCAAACATCCCTCCCATAACATCCCCCAGATACCCCCTCCCAAACATCACTCCCGTGCACACTATAAGGGATCAATGGAAATCTTTCGCTCCTTCACGTGAACTGGTGAGCTAAAAATGCGAATATTTTTTTCAATAACTTTTGAATGAGTATTTTATACTCAAGGTAAAGTATGGGTAATAACGAAGAATTTGACTTGAATAACAATTTGCTTGGATGAAAATATTAAGTACAGGGCAAGATTAGTAAGCACAATTATGTACACAAGCCTATACACAGGCTAGAATGTAATGTCACATTACGTAGGCTACCTACAGAAGTTCAAGCATATTGCCATAATAATTCTGGTCACCATATTACAGGAGGTATTTTATCAGCCTGGAATAAACACAGCTCAACAACAACATGTTTTTGGAATTTATCAGCAAATGTTACATGCACTGCGGATATTCTATAAGATAGCGTCAATAAAAGAAAAACTCATTAGGTGACGCATGGGTTCTAGAATACGGAAGCTAGAGTGCAGGACATGTCAGCCACAAACTTAGGAAATAAAGTACGGGGGAAGCTAACCGACACGCAAATCATTAAAAAAAGCGAAGAATGAATATATTTCGTCAGTTAAATTTGGTAATGAACCACAAAATTTACCAGACGAAAAATGTTTTACGGGTTTAACCGGTCTTTTTATGTTTATTAATTTTCATCAGAAAATTGAAAGAGACAAAAATGAGAACAAGTTTGGATTCAGGACATAGCAAATTATCATAATTCTAGGTAGAGCTTCAGACTTGTAGGACTTCGCTTATCAGGATTTTATTAGAAATTATAGAAGATATTGCACTACCATGAAAAAGTACCGAACCTGCAAATGCGGTTCGAGTCGGAGTGAAATTTCCGAATAATTGAACGGAAGCCTCTATTCGTTCCACAATACTTACGTTTTTGATGGCCAAAATTGTTTTAATTTTATTCGATGTTCAAAATGGTTCCTAAATTCTGTGAGATTCTCTTGAAGCAGAAGAAATATCGTGAGGAATTAAATTTTTTTATAAAAAAAAACAAGTAAATGCCTAGCTGTGAGCATTCCAACCAAAAACATTTACAACATTCGAACGATATATTTTATGCCTCACATCAAAATGTTAAGAAATGCGAAAACTTCAAGCCGAATATTGTGAAAGGGAATTGACAATTTAGAACACAATCACATCTCGCACTTAATCGGGAATGATTCAATCTTCCGCATGAGAGATGTACAAATTGCCAACAAAAAATATCTACATTATTTATTTTTGACTTCTACATGGCCTTAAAAAGATCAATAGGCATGAACGTAATTGTTTCTAGAACAAATAGTCAGAGACGCTGAGAATTTGCATCGTAAGTTGGCTCTGACTGCAGGCAAAATACATGCATGGATTAATCCAGCTTCCAAAGAAAAAAAAATTTTCAACCATAATTACCTAATTTTTATGGTGTGTAACCGAAAAACGTCTGTGAGTGAGCATTCACAATACAAAACATTTATTCATATTTCAAATTTTATAAATATAAATACAATTAAAATTGTTGGATATTTACTAAGCATTGTATTAATTTATTTCAATTTGTTGCCTTGATGAGCGATTCATCTGAATTAGAAAAAAAGTCTCATGCGTACTTAAATATTGTGGCTAGGAAAATATTTAATGATACCGACAATTTTGTACAATATTCATCAAAATTGCGGTCTTTTTATTTCTTTCTCACCAGCCAAAACAGTCAAATGAAAATCCGATCACAGTAAAGTAACTAATCGAAAGTGTTTTTTATTTTAGTTTTCAGCGAATGAAATGCTTCCCTAGAGTAACCTTAATAATTAATTCCAACATATGGTTACATACCTATTAACAATAGTCATTTTTGTACGTACAGAGTCACCAAAATGATCGTTTCCATTTACTTGTACCTGTTTTGTCAACAATAATAATACAGTTTAAATATGGCTCCACGTGCAACGAGGATCTCTTTTTGTATGTACAATTATACAGAACTTTACTTACAGTATCCATACATGACGTACGTTTGAGCTTCAATCGATGCAAGTTCACAATGCAACTATCAATGTGCAAAAATTCATACATGGAAGAAATTCGCTTCTTGTGGTTTCATTGTTGAAGTCACATGAGCAAACTTATTGTTGTTTCTTTCTCGGCGTGTGTGGTTTCTCGTGAAAAACTCAAATGCTAGGTTCTTCATTAGCAGAATTAAAAAATTTTTATATTAAAAAATTAAAAATGAAAATTTATGGCCACACGAGCCGTTCGTTCCAATTACGTATTAAAACAATTATAATAAATGGAGTCGAGTGATAGGAAGTTTATACAAATAACGAACATTAAAAATTTCATGGAATCTATCTACAATTTAAAATGAAATTGCTAACGCTAAAGGTCTAAATAATTTTTTTAATTGTTTAAGAAACCGTTCACAACATTAAATCGGCTTCGATTCGGCGAAAAACAACAAACACAAAAAAATCCATTTAAAAAGGTGTAATAGTTCGTAACAAAATTGTTCAAAGACTCTGAAAGTTTTCGCCTGTGTTAGCTGCGTAGTCCATACACTCCTGTTTAGTGGGAGCTCTGTACTGTTGGGCTGCGCTCATCTGAGCGCTGTTCATGTTGGGGTGCCCGACTGTCATCTGAGAGAAGTTGGCCATGTGGCTGGCGTTGAAGTGATTAGGTTGGTGCAGATATTCGAAGTTTCCGTAGTAGCCGGGAGTGTAGCTCTGGTTCCAAGATGGGGGAGTTTTGGCGTGGGGAGGCATACCCGTGTAGTGAGAGGCAGCTTGCATGCAATTCGGAGAACCCAAGTCAGATCGAAGAGCAGTGGATGGCCACAAGCTAGAGGAATATGCATTGGGGTCAACAACACTACTGGAAATGGTGTGCGTTGCACCTTGAAAACCGGTGTAAGGTTGACTTGGCGTAGGAGCTGTGTTGGGAGGAGTGTGTGCCGAGGCGGGGGATGTTGTTGGAGGTTTGTATGCTGCTGGGGATTGTGCCCTTGGCTCAGCTTTTACGGCAGAAGGCACCGCAGAAGACGTCGTATTGGTGGCGGTCGCCACGGGGGGCGTTGAAGGTTTGCTGGAAGTCTTCTTTGGCCGCGGCACCGCTGCTCTGGTGCTGTCAGTTGTACTTGTACTAGACGCTGCTGTTCCCGCGCTGCTGGAAGTCGTGCTTGTCGTTGTGGTGCTTGAAGAACCGCTCGAACTTGTGCCGTTGGTTGAGTTGGTGTTGTTGTTATTCGAGTTCTGCTGTCGACATTTCGCACGCCGATTCTTGAACCAAACCTGTCAGAAAAAGAAAAACGAATGTCAGTTTTTTAATAGATTACCGGTACCAACGACAAGCCTTCTCAGAATGATGCATCAAAAGTTTGGAGTCGAAATAACGTTGATATATTATTTATTTTCAAGATATCGTATAGGCATTCGCAAAATACGAGCGTCATATAATATGGCATCGAATTAGAAATGACAATTCAACCTCAATGGTTACCTAATGTCAAAAGAAGTTCGCACTACACCGATCTGAATATGGATATCTTGCGCGCAACATTCGGAAAACGTGGATTGCTTTCTTTTTTGTATAGGAAGGCGTCAACACTATTGCCCAATTACGACGCTCTTTTTTTGCGTGTATTTTTCTTTCATTTGGACGTGGTCGGGCGGTCGTCATTTATGAAACACGCATTGATGGTGTGAGCCACGGCGATATATATACAGCTGGGTCCCAAAAAATCGTTATTGGGGCCATGGACCCATTGTTGGGCAGAGCCAATCGTTACTGTGACAAAGCCCCCTATTGGGTACCGAGGGACCCACGTCACTAAATGAACAAAAGAAAGACTAACCTTCGACGAAGGCAGCACCTAACGTTGCGCTCTTTCTCCTCTACTGATACACATAGAAACATGCGTGACTATTTCCACTACAATCGCTCATTTAGACGGAATAAATTGCAATTAAAATGATAATGAAGTTATTCTTCGAAGATAAAAGTTATTTAAATCAAATAATATTGAAAATATTGGCACTGTATATAAAATCTCTGGTGCTAATAAATGAAAGCTAATTAATCCCTCAATCCGGAAAAAACTCATAATGTAACTAATTTATTTTAGTATACATAGAAATTCATTACTATAGGCACACTTGAACTAAGTGTTCTCATTCTGGGTAAAAATATTCACTCGTCCTTAATTGAAATTCATAGCTTCTAACAGCGGGTTCCTATGACAACGAATTGCGCGTTTAAGCTATTAAGGACAAATGCGATGCAGGTTGCTTAAAAATTTCACGCCCGCGCAAAGGTAAATTTAATCATTAATTAAATAGGGAAAGTTCCGTGTTATTCAAAGCCTTAATTGCTTCGACCAAGGGTTCATCCTTCAAACCGGCGAATAATTCTGCCACCTAGATCGAAGCTCCCCGAGTTCAGAATTTGAGAAATTAATTCACCAGAATTGCATGCATACTAAATTAAGGACTAAACTGCCCGCCTTCAATTACTATTGTAGTACTACTAATTATTAGAGATATTCTTATGCCCATTATCTTGCAAGCGGGCGCTTTCAAGCCAGTAAGTTAGTACACTTCGCCTTCAAAACTATGTTGCATTAATAAAAGAAGCGTAGTTACGCATCACCTTACGCAAATTCATACCGCCGTTGACGTAAAATAAATAACTCAATAACTTGTAATTTTGGTGCAATTTTTTAACATTTCATCATTTTCACGCATGATCCATGGATGTGTGAAGTATGTGCTCAAGAAAGTAACATGTTGGAAACTTGAAGTGCACGTGAGGCTTGCAGCTGACGAACATGTGATGTCAATAAGCAACTGGCGCAACACCATGAGCAGTCGCAGATGTTCCTAAGCCACCGAATATCGATCAATGTGCCTGATTTTTCCAAAGGGGAGGTTGGTGCAAATTTCAAGGGGCAAACGAGTGTATTAGTGAAGGGTGAGATACGAGCCCGATTGCTTCACGAGTTCGATCAGCATGGCATGTACGAGGGGCAGCTGCCGAGGGCTTTAAAAGACACAAAAAATGAGGGAGAAACATTCTTCGTCAGGCGTCGACTAGTCGCAGTAACGCGTGTGAAATTTTAATAATTAATTATACTTTTTGAGGTGAGGATTCTATCAGCGACTGGATGCAGCTGAATTATTTTTCCCTGAGTTCGTTGCATTAATTTATGAAGTGAAATACCGATAACTACCTAACATATTAGTTCACATAAAATTCAACCAAATATCTCTTACGTTCGAGAAAAATAAAATAAGAAAAATCGTTTCATTGCGATCACAACAACAACCATCGCCGATGGTCAAAATTTGCATGCATGAGAAATTCCCTTCTTGCATACGGACGTAATTTCAATTAATTATTCGTCCTACAATCTGCTGAAGTTCTCTTCCACGCACAGTTCCTGCACCGAAATCTTCCCATTTAAAGGCAACACCATCGTTGTTTTGCTGGGGGATTTCCTCACCCCATAAACGCCGCCTCAAACTGAATCTTTTTCTTAGATTAAATCCGGTCGCACGTCATCGACTTTATAGCGAAGTGATCGACTCGACGAGGCTACTATAACGTTGCTTTGAACAAACCTGTTCAATGTATTGCTGAGAAAATTATGTTTGTTATCAATGCGTTATGAAAATTGTATTTATATGCTCGGAAAGCGAACCCTAGGTTAGTATTCCGATGACATTCACTTCATTTTTAAAGTGAATTTCAGACCAATATACGCCTCAACAGAATATCAAACTGTGTTTTCTCAGTGTTTGGAGGCAAAGCATTTGTGAAATTAAACTTTGCTCAATCTTTGGAAGCAAAACATTTTTGAAATTACAGTACATAATAAAATTGGTAATTTTTGGTCACAGCTTAATTTTGTAAAGATTCTGTTGTGGTCGGGAATATGCAGTGTAAGGCGACGTAATTAGAGGCTGCCTCTCGAGTGGAGCTCCAACGATGCCAGCGGGGCGTCCGCGACCGCATCAAAGATCGCGTCACTATTCAGTTATGCGGCCCATAAAAGATCAAACGCCGGCCTAATGTGAGCAGTTACGCGGGAACTGAACTACTCGACCAGTGCTTAATGGTCGAAAAAAAGATGCGCTGATGTCTGCTTTGTTTGACAATAAGCGGACCCGAATTTGCTTGATTGATGAAAACAGGAGAATCCTGAAAACTGATTTCGAAAATTGTCTGAATCCACTGGAATTTCAAGAAATGCTGAATCGATGCAGAAAAGAATTTTTCTTTAGCCCAAAAGTTTTTTGGCTGTAGGTACAGCATGATTGATAAAAAAAACTCACGGAAGGAATATTGTACATTCGAATCATGTTTATAACAATAATCATGAATTAAAGATAGTGAAACTTACTGGATATGCACGTTTTTTTTGTCGTAAATTTTGGTTTAGCACCGGCTCTGCCTAATACAAGTTCAACTTATTAGCTGAGTTTTCGACAAATCCATCACATTTTTAAATGGAATTTTCGATTAAAATTACATAAAAAGCATTAAGTTTCGTGACATTACCTGAACGCGGCTCTCAGGCAAGTTGATCTTGATAGCGACCTCCTCCCTCATGAAGATGTCCGGGTAACGCGTCTTGCCGAAGAGCGTCTCCAGCACGTCGAGCTGCGCGCGCGTGAAAGTTGTGCGCTCCCGACGCTGTTTCCTTCCGGGCTGAGGCGGCACTGTGAATAAAAGAAAACAAAATTTAGTTAAAAGAAAAAAATTTAGTTAAAGGAAAACAAAATCTACTTAAAAGAAAACAAAATCTACTTAAAAGAAAACAAAATTTATTTTAAAGTCACCTTGCAACAAAATTAATGGTTCGGCTCAAACTGTTGTACCGAATATACAATCAATGTATGTCACTGAGTTCGTTGCAAGATTATTTGTTTTATTATAGTACCACCTGACAAACAATAGTGAAACTTCAGTATAGGACAAAGAATGTTAACATGGATTATTTCATTTGGGGTAGGAAAATTATTTTTTCTGAATTTTAGTTAAATATTTGATGCCTACGATTAAGAAAACATCTTTATAATCTCCTGCGAACATTTTACTTAAAATAGAACAGAGGGACACTATGAGGGACAAAACTAAATGATCAATTTAAGTGAAAAATAACGCTTATATTCTAATAATGATTATAAATTAAACAAAATTTTGCTTAGCAATATTAAATATACTGCTCACTTGAAGAAATGAATGCATGTCAGGATTATGTGCGTTGGAGCATAGGGTATTTTTAGATAAAATATGACGTGCAATAGATACGTGCAAACAAATCTTAAGCATAGTTTTCAAGCAGCCAGTTAGTTATAGAAATAAGGAAGCAGGCAAAGCAAACTGTTTTAAAGGCCATACAAAGACTGCTTTGTTTAATAGAAGAAATATAAGATTCAAGCGTCACCATAAGCTACTTATGAAATGCCTTAATCCGATAATTTGAATAAGTGGTTATTTAATAAATTATCAACATTAAAATTATTTCAAAATTTAAATAAACCCGGCCAGAGTTTGTTTTAGAAATACCCCTAGCAGATAACAGTGGGGTATTTCAGTTAATAACTTGATACACTTTCCCTCACCGTTAATCACTGTTAATTAAATATTCTTTCCCTCAGCATGAGCATGCACTTTCCCTCACTGAGAGTTACAAGGGCATCGGAATATTTTTGTGTTATTGAAATTTCATTACCTGTGCCATTCTTGGAAAATTTTTCTTAAATCTAGACATATTGTCATGCAAAACACACGTTATTGACTCCAAATTGAATTAAAATTCTATTTCAACGGTAAAATTCATACATTATAACATAGCGCCAAGTACTAGTCATTGCAAAATGCAAGCAATTCGCACGAATCAAGTATCCGGTTCGATAACAAAATTTGCGTAACATGGAATCAAAACTAGTCAGTGCTCTTCCAATATCCTCTACCACCAATTGTCCCATAAACCAATTCTAGTTTTACTGCACGGCTGCCAAATTTTTGAACAATGACGTAACTATATATTTTTAACGTACGTTTAGCCATTGCAGCACTAGCAGCTTCACTCAAATAATATTGCTGACGATGATGAACTTCTTCCATTTGTTGCTGAATTGCCTGTTGCTGATGATGCTGATGCCAAGCGTACACTTCCGCGGTTATTGCTACTTCACTAGGACAGCTATAGAAGTTTTGGGGAGCAACATTATGTTGCCTGAAGTAATTTTCGTCAGCTGAAAGAAAAACAAATTTCCAAAATAACAACGGGCGTCACAAAATGCGAGCATGAAAGCAAGAAAACTGTAAAAATCATGCGTGCAATTGGAGGCCATGCTATCCTTAGGTCAAGTCGTGGAGTTTGTGTAAAAAAATTATTTTTGGGGATTTTAAGCGGTGCTTGAAAAGGGAAACTAAGCTAGGAAACAATTTTGAGCTTAGCTAAGTTTGAACGAAATAATTAACGAAAAATAAAGCAATTATTTAGATATAAACGAATTTGTTATCATTAGACACGTAAATACAAATTTAATTAAACATAAGAATGCATGCTGTTAGCAGGAAAAAATAGAAGTCATGTGCATGGTAAATCAAAAACGATTTTTTTAGTCAAGTAAAATGAAAGAGGACAACAATAAAGCAAGTGGAAACCAAACAAGTAGATTTAAAAATCACCTTTAGCAATAATTTTAATATGGTGATTCATAATTTTCTTTCAAAGTTGAAGTGAAAAATTAAGTGTGAAAAATACACTAACAGCAAAATCAATGATTTACGTAAATTACTTTTGATTCGGTGTCGCCATAGATAAGTATCTTTGAAATTACGTCACATCGTCATGCATGGTCTCTGGATTTCCAAAATAGCACACGAAATTAAGATAAATTACTCAGCACTCGAGTTCATCCAGGAAAGTGTAAGCTTCATGCCAAGCTACTTGTAAACACAAACACACATCAAGTAATAGCTGTGAGGTACCACAAGGAGATACAAATAACCAACTAACAAATACAAGGTTAACTGATAGTTTAAGAAAACATTGTGCACAAAACTAGGCTAAAGTTACCTTGGTACTCACTTCGCAGGGACGGAAAAGAGTTCATTCCTAGGAGATGGTCCCGAGGCTCGGTTGCGGTGTGGTAGCTCATGTGCAGAGTGGCTGGGTCGACCATAGAGTGGGGGTGGTGGGGCCCCATGCCCATTTGGAGGCCAGCAGCGTTAGACATGGCCGTGCGCCACGCCATGCTGTTGCCCAGACTTTGTGACTGGGTCACAAAGGGGCCATGGTATGCCATGGGATCTGTAAAGAGTGGGAAATTCTTGGTTGAGATGCATGAAAGCATTAACTGAATTTTCAAAATTTGTTTTTAGAATTTTTGAAAATATTGTTGTAAAAAACACGGGGTTCTAAAACTAAAATTTTAGTTAAATAACGAATACATAAATTAATTTGAGCAGGACTACGTATACTCATTCATTAACTTGCATTTCAACTTGAAATTTATTAGATCGTGAGCATAACACCGTTAGTTAGACAATAGTTTAACGCAGTGATTTTGCGCTAGATTTTTTTTCCAATATCGTAAGCAAACCAAACTAAAAATCGGTGCACCTCTTAGAGATCTGGAGAATTCATAGCTTCGATTTCTATAGGAAAATCAATTCATTTTTTATAAAACAGCGATGGGAAAAGACCCCTACATCGGTCTTCATCCCCGGGTGCTGTTGTTTGGCATGGAAACGTTTTCTGGGCAAAAGGGAATTTAGAAATATTTAGGGTTAATTTCGACTCAAAATTAAAAGTTTACTGGTCAGAGTTAGCCGTAAAATCAACGTATAATCAAGTTGAAGTTTTCTTTGGACCATCATAGCCAAGTATTTAGTTTGATGGGAGCAACACTGTACTATTTTCTTGACTTCGGTACGTTATTCAAATACAAACTTTATTCACATCGTTCCATCCTATGCCAATTTACATCGTTAACGTTGTTCAGTCGGTTCGTGCTGACATAGAAAATCCATAGCAACGACGTACGTTTTTTTAAGAAGCGAACGAATATACGACAAAATATACAATACGACAACAAACAAAAAATTTCTCCTTAGACAACTGTCATAAAATTCTCCTTATATAAGCGAAGAATTTTTAAATTGAAGAATGCGTGACCAAGAAATGATTAAATTTTCGAAAACCTTCTTTAATTTCGGCTGCTACCTTCATCTTCTGAATTCGCTAATACTCTGAACGCATCGGTCGGGTTCTTCTCGTGTCGCTCATAAATCATGCAAGTAACCTGAAGAACTGCCCCGATCATCGACGAGCTTTTTAAGACAGCATGTATCCTGAAAAATACATCCTAGGAGATGATGGAGCCTTGATCGATCTCTTCTGCGTCACGCATGCCGCCAAGCCGGCACGATACGCCTCGTATCCTGGATACGTGGAAGAAGAGAAAGGCTTTTAGTGGCGCCTCCACTGGGACGCTAACTTCGTCCGGTTTTGATGACGCATGGAAGTCTGCTTTGTGGTCTTGAGATCCCAACTTTGGCCGTCTAAATGCAGGGGCTTTAAAAACTGTTTCTACATACTTCCATGAATATTTGTCAATTTCAGGTGAATTTTGTTCGGATTTGATAAACATTTTAATGTCAAGTGGTTTTAGTTCATGAAATATCAATTTCAACACAAAAGCGTGCAAAATATATACAAAACATTAGAAGTTCTCATCTGCAGGCAAATTCAATAACTGATGAACTTATCTTTAACATGAACAGTGTTGAAGATAGTTCATACTTCATAATATTACTTCTCTGTTAAGGTTTGAAAATTTAAAAAATGCTGACAAATTTACCCATTGTGAAGTTTCTTTCGTTAAAACGTTTTAGACACCAATTCAGTAGCGATATTATACAAAACCCGCTCTTTTGGTGAAACCTGAATGGAAACAATACGTTTTTCCGTTGATTTATATATATGATGAAAGTAGTATAGAAATATCAGGTACGTAAGGGAGAGAAGGCGTATGTAGTCGATTAATAAACTCGATATTAACTCGAGTAAAAGGCCGTTCAAAATATCATTCAGGTTATTTTGGTACGGTTCCCTCTACACACAGAGTGAAGAGCGAGCGCCTCCATTGTACGGTGCAAACATGCATATAATGCCATACCTGGGCGACGAAAACCTCATAATTGACGAGAATGAGGCCTTGTACACAGACTGCTGCCTCTATAACAGTGCGTTATTTATATATGGAGGGAAAACGTCCGCATTTCAAAGAGGGCGTGGAAAATTGAGATGTGAACGCAATGGAAGGTTTGTTTGGATTGCTGCAAGCACCGTGAGGCCTCCGCTTGTTATTGTGCTACCTGAACGGAATCTGCCAGCTTTATTTGCGATGTACATACGCAGAATAAAACTGCGGAAAACGTCCACATATTGCTTTATGTAATTTCACGCATGAAAATTTCAGTCCTCTATCAAATAATTGATAATGTGTTGTCTTGAAGTTAGCACTAAATAATATTAAATGTATTCAAATTATTCAATTACTCTGCCATTGAGTGGATTTTTATGAAATAATCCCCTGTATTTAAAATGATAATTTAATTACAAGTTATCAGGATGAGAATGCGCGATAGTCGTTGCATTTTGAGAAAAATATCCGTTTTATCCGTAATATCCGACGGAAATATTTTTCCGTCAGTTCCTTCAAAACAAAAATTCCTCAAAAATTGAACAAAGAAATATAGCACATTAGGCGGCATGAGAATATTTGGCATTTCATCATTCAATAATAAAATGAAAGCCACAATGTGTAAGTTAAAAATTAGGCAAAAGTTGAGAATAAAAGTGTAGAGAATAAAAACTCGTGTAAGGTACCATAATAAAATTTTCCTAGATGAATTGAAGCGAAGCTCTAAAAATAAACTTCCACTTGATGACACTTATCCTACATATTGTGACTGATCATCATTTCTCACTACACGATTTAGGAAACAGTTTCGTATTGGTTTTCCAGTATGAAAACATGTCTCACGAAGTGTCCGTTTAAAACTTCTTGAGAAACATCTTCACTCTTGAACCTCTCGAGCTCAGTCATATTTCAATGGCGATATCATGTGTGAATGGACGCTAGGCGTTCCTCAAAGGAAGAAGTGCAGTCGATGTCAGAAAACTAACAACTCCGTGACACATCTCAAGTGGAGGCATTGTGATGATCCAAGTACAAAAATTCGTCCCTTAATTCATCCTACGTCTTGCACAACTTATCGTATGACTAAAAGCTCGTGATACTGATAATGTTGAGATAATAACGTAAGGTTTAATTTCATCGTGAATTAAAACCAAATATTTGATTGCAGGATCAATCGACCGTTTAAACCAATTCAGAATGCAGCTTGTAATAGATTTAATCTAAATGCGACAATGAAGCTAAATTGTACAATGCTCATAGTGATAGAAATATTATAATACAATTAGTCAGAGGAATATGAGATTGTGATTCAGAATGATCTTTAGCAATTGTTTACTCGCAATGAGCGGGAAGTGAAATCGGCATTCTAAATAAGATTGCTGAAAGTGAAAACACAGATACCGGTCAAGTGAGTGATTTTGATCTCCTATACATACTATCACTGCAAAAGGACGGGATATTCAGAGATTAATTGCATGCATTTAGAAAGTAATTAATTCCTCCTGAATTGCTGTGTTGGTTTAAATATTATAACTTGCCACTTAAACGCATTTCCCCCAACGTTGACTGAGAAATAAATGAAATTATGAAAGATTGCGCACAAGAAACAATTCTTTAATCTGAAAGTACTTTTGGTGAATGAATTCAATTATTTTCGAAAATGAAAATTTGTAATCAATTGGTGTATATTTTCTCTTGAAACTTTCCGAAATTCAATAAAAAACATCATCTGGACAAATCATCTGAATAAAATTTTTTTGGTAAAAATCCACATCACAATTTAATCCACAATGGACATCCGGCATAGCAGAGTTCCTTGCAAGTCTCTAGTGCACTCACCCTGCAATTAGGGTTGGATATTCAGCATTCATCTGATACCAATCTTGAAATGACCGGCGGCGGAACAGCAATTAAGAGCCACAGATATTTTAGAGGCCATCGAGTGCGCTTGTCGAGAAATCTTACGAGTTTAGGAACATCGACCTAGTGGTTATTCGGGCATTCTTTCGAGAATATGTCGTGCTATGAATTATTGTGGTTTTGTGAAACCTGTAGTTATTATCTATTGATTAATAAGCATGAACAATAACGGAGGAATGTAAGCGAAGAACTCGCTGCATAGCTTTGTATACCAGTACATTTTTAGGGGTTGTCTCCGTAAAAGTACGATCGTCATCATGCATAGAAAGCAGAAATTAGAAACTTACCACGACTCACGATACGATCCCAACCTAAACAATTCGAGAAACAGAAACAGCACGTGCCAAATCCTGCAGATATTCTTTTCGAGGGAAGAAAAGTGTATTCTGGTCGACACCGGATCCTGAGGGCAGCATTTAATTCATCCCGGAAAGACAGGCTAGTTTGGCCGGGAGGTCTGCCGCTGCCTCAACAATTTCAGGCGTCACGCGAGGGGACCGTCCGTCTCCTTCCAGACCCCTCATTTGGGCCCGTCTGGGCTGCCATTAACGGGCCAACGTCTCAGGTAGCGAGTCAGGGCCATGAGCAGCGGGCGCCAGTGTCCCCTATAGCGGGCCGGTGTCCCCTATAGCGGGCCAAGGCCTCAGGTAACGGGCCATGTGTCTCAGAAGTCCAAAATAAATTCGTCATATCTGAACCTGGACCAACACTTCATATTAATTTTATACATTTATTTTCAGCAAAGTACACGAACAAGTAATATTGTTTTGTAAAAGATGACATTACTTTCATGTTCTTTGCTGTGTAATTTCTCTCAGACGGGTTAAAATTTGCTGCTCAAAATCATGTAAATTTTTCTTCATTAGTTTTCTCAATTTTAGGCTGAAAATATTGTGATTTACTTCACTAAAGCTCTAAACTTCTTCCAACAAATTAGAATCTAACTCACATTAGAGCTTATTTATTTCCATTGCTACAAGCGATCGTTGTTCTCGTTACAGGGGCAGATTTTTTACCCGGACCAGCGGGCCGTCGCTCGATCGGAGGGAGTCGCGCGCACACAAAATGGCAAGTTATTCTCACGCTTGGGGCGGCAGCAGCAGCAGTCCCTTACTTCTACCACTGCAAATACTACTGACATTAATACTCTTTCTAATACTTCTACCACTGCAAATACTACTGA